TTTTAATTGCATTGCAGAAATAATTTTCTACATAAGCTGCTTCTCATTGACTTAAAAAACAAAAAAAAAAAAAATAGAATTTTGCTTTTGTTTTTGTATATGGATGGAATTATACAGAAATTCTTTTCGCGTTTTCTTGCTGTTGCTTGTTTGTGCAAATCCATATGTTTTCCATTAAACGCGCGCGCGTATGAGAAGTGTTGGTTGACAACAATTTCTCATATGCGCTTCTGTTTGTTTTTACTCATTATTGCTTTGAGCAACTAAATTTTGTAAACTTTGTGCGGAACCTTAGGTACAGCTGCATCTATAACCAACTTTTAAAGGGTTTTATCATTCCAGTAGAGAGCTGAGATTTCATGTTAACCGTAAACAACGTTTTTATTCTATGCATTTTAGTAATTCCTAGTTTTTTAAGATTTTTTGAAAGTAGATTTTTGCTATGCTTTGTAAGGGCATACCCTAGAACAGAATCCTAGGTACAAATGTAGCTATGTATGAACATTTTACTGTGTGGAAACTTTTAGAATTTTTCCCCATGTATACTCATAAATATGCAGTAGCCGTTGATTTTTGGATTACAAAGTATGTTCGACGATTTTTGTTCCATATGGAAAAAATATCAATATCTTTAATAAAAATATTTCCAAAAATCAAAGGTATTTTTAGCCACTTCAAACTTGCACTTTATTATACAAGAATTGAAAAATTTCTAAAAGTTCTGAATAAAATACAAATGCCATAGCTATATCTATGTTGGATTTTACAATACAGTGCTGCTATCAGGTTTCCGCACAAGGGTTAATTTCTCATTTTTTTTACAAAAAAAAAAAACATGTTTGAAACTGGTTGCTGGCACTTTAGTTTTGTTTGTACATATTTTTCCCATTTACAAGTAGAGTTATGTAGTTGTACATTTAATTTCCCTATTTTTTGTGTACTCAATCATTTATATCCTTTAGTTTACTTGGTTTGTAGTCATGTCCTTTAACGGTTAGAATTTGAAAATTTTGTGTTTTTTAGGGGCCTGTGCCAATTAATAGCAAAGTACTCTGGATGGCAAATTTTTGAATAAAAATTGCAAGGGCTAGTGAAAAATTTGATAGCAAAAATTATTGGTCTAATATTACACTATCCGACAAAATTGAACTTGTTTTTTTTTTCAACCATGAAAATAATGAAGCATTTTCAAAAATTGCATAGAAAAGTATGTACCCGTATTTGGTCGTTTTTCTACATCGTCATTTGCGGTTTCTATGGGGGAAGACAACCCTATGCTGAACCACTCAATAGAATATTGCCTTGTAATTTTTGAGTTTTACTAAACTTCTTATCCAAGGCATTGGCATCATATTGGGTTAGCCATTTTGAATTTTTGATAATTTATTTCAGTTTTGTAATCAGCGACTCAAAGAAGCTTCGAATATAAAATTGCATAAAAATCGGAAAATTTAAAAAAATCAGCGACTCAAAGAACCTTTGGATATGAAATTTCATAAAAATTTGATATTTCTTTTTATACCCGAAAGGGATTTTCGATATTTAATATATTTAAAAAGTCCCAAAGCAATATTCTATGAGCCAATTCAGTAAGGCAGACATTTTCTAAATAAATATAATTGCCGTTTTGATGTTGGTTGCTTAACTCGCTGGTCATCTTCTGCATCAAAGCAGCTGTCAAAAATAATGAAACAGTTTTTTCACCATAGAACTTTGCTACTGATTGGCATAAATCCTCAATAAATATGTATCTCATTTTCTTCACATCATTATGCATTTATATGTATGTATCTAATTAGTTCCGTTATGCGTACCATTTAAAATTTAAGCGTTTTGCGCATGCTTCTCCTCCGCCTAATCTCATTTCCATGTGGTTTGCCTAAACTTTAGCTTTCCAAAACCAAATTAGCTAATATTGTAAATATTTAACAACTCATTTACCTTTTTCTTTTGCCTTCACCACTTCTTTTCATATCGCGTGTTTCATAAAATTCAATATCCTTAAACACATACATACATACATGCACACACTTTCATACCTGATTTGATTTTCTTATTTATGACTTGTAAATAATTTTATGTACGTCAATAAATCTTCTCATTCACCAAAAATTGACCCAAATCGACTCATTTGGAATTGTGTACTTTTCATACCTTAAATGCTCTCCTACTTCATTGCGATCATCAACATTCCAACTGCAAATTTGTAAACAACAATTACAACAAACATCCATATGGTTTTTTTTTGTGAAAATGTAAATTGTAGAAATGTATTTAGTAAAAATCGCACCATCACCTCAAACACCAAAAACACCATCACCACCACTACCACCTCAACAATCATCAATACCAACACCGCCACCGCAACCACAACCACAACCACAACCAAAATCACTTCAAATCATAACGCCTCGAATGTGTTTAGAAATGCGTCGCATGGTACAGAAGCAGCCGTAGCGGCGAAAACAACAGCAACAGCAGCAAAAACGTATCCGTCAACGTCGTCGACGGCAGGCGCCAATACAACGGCGATAGCAGTGACTAAATGCTATTTAAAACATGCTAACAATCAAAATCAAAATTCTCACAAACCAACTAATCCGAATCATCATATAACCTCCCATTCCCATTCCAATAATTGTTCCAATTCATCGGTTAATTACCACCATCATCATAATCACCACAACCACAACCACAACCACAACCAAAATACGCACCAAACGCACGTTTCCCAATATTCCATGCATTCCTGTGCCACCACCAATCAATTGACATCCACATCGTTGAACGCCTTTAATTATGCTTCCAAAAATTCCACGAATACGAATTTTCTCAGTTTCACCGAAACGGAAGAAGTTCTACAAATCGGTATGCACAAAGTGCTCGTCTATGTGAAGAATCACCGTGATGCCTGGCCATTTATGGATCCCGTTGAGGAGGACATAGCGCCACGATATTATTCCATAATACGCAGGTGAGTAATTTGAGAGCTTTAGATTAGATGTAAAGTATTCTAAAAATATATATATATATGTGCATACATAAGTGTTAGATAGATATGTAGATATATGTGCTCTCAAAAGGTGACCTCATCTACACCTTAAGCTCTAATCTGTGGCTAATGTGTTTGCCATCTTAAGTGACCGCGTTCCAGTAACAGGTGGACTGGTCTTTCTGTTAGCGTATCCCAGTAAAGAAAGCAGCCGTCTTAGCTAATTCCTTGGGTATTATTTGCTCGCAGACTGGCAGTATATCTGTTATATATGTATGTATATGTCTTAACATCGTCTTTGAGAGAGTTATTAATTTTCTAAATCTCTTAGATACGAAACTTCCTGTAAGTTTTATGGGGTGCCATAATCCTAGCGAATTCTCCGCTCTGCACTCAACTCTTACTTGATGGTAGTTGGTCCTACAGCAATGAAGTGTTCTAGTCCTAAAGAACACTGATCGGACGAAAAATGTCACCATAGAATTTCCTAAAACTTTTCCTATAGGGTTCGCGAATCTTTCTGTAGACTCGCTCACTTCTGAGAGTGTGAAGTTCTCCGGATCTCTGCCTGGGTTATAAAGGCTCATTCCTCCCGCTAGCTTCTCTAACTCTTTAGTTGAGCGACGGCTGGTTTGTCGCTGCTTGACGTCGTCACAGCAGCGGCGGTGGTCTAGCAGTCTATGCTGTTTTGTATGGCTCCCATCCTAGAAGTTCGCTGCTTCCACGCCTTACCAAGTACTTTGCCGCACCTCAGTTTGATTCTGTAGCTATTACTTATCTCCACAGCAACATTCAGCCCTAGGTAGCTATCCCTTAACTTCGCTTCCACTACCCTTCAGAGTGATGTGTTAAGTTTCTTGTTTTGAGCTGGCAAGAGTCCTGGCGTCTGTTAATACATAACGGAGTTGTAGATGAGGTCTTTCGACCATCAAGGGACACATACGTATGTAGGATGTGGACATTTTTGGATTTATTATCAAAATTGTAAATTATTTGTTGTTTTTCTAATGGTAACAATTTTATTTATCTCGATTTCTCATGTTCACAGACCAATGGATCTGCTCAAGATGGAAGATAAACTGGACAACGGTGAATACAATAAATTTAGTGACTTTCGCAACGATTTCAAATTGATTGTGAACAACTGTCGCCTCTATAATGGACATAACAATGGTGAGTCTATGGCCATTTTGTTCTCAGCCAAAAATCTTTCATAAATATGCTCAAATCTTGCTTTCAGAATACACGGAAATGGTGAATAATTTACAAGAGGCCTTCGATAAGGCCACCAAAAAATACTTCGATAATTTATCAGAAGACGATGACGATGACCCCAGCTTGGGCTATCCGGCAGCCGATTCAAAGATGAATGTGTTCCGCGAGAAATACTTCAATAAGAAGTCTTCGAAGGACGCTAGTAGCGATAGTCAGAGTGTTGCAACGGATGCGGAGAAAAATGTTGCAGACAAGTCAACAGATAAGAAGAGAAGTGGTAAAAAGCGTTCAATGGATTCGGTTACAGAGTTGTATAAGGAAAAGCACGCGTATAGTGGTGAGGAGGACATAGACGATATGGCAAGCGGTGATGGGGAGCAGCGTGGTACAAAGCGCAAGCGTAAAGAGAAGGATAAAAGGCGTAAGAAGAAATCAAAAAGTAAAGCAGTTGTAGTGGAAAGGCACACAGACGATGAAGAAAATATTGAAGAGGATGAAAAGCAAGGTGATGAGGAAATGCGCGAAGATTTTGAGCAAGAACATAACATAAAAAAGGGCAGAAGTAAACAGGCTAAGGAAGGCACAAAGAAAAGTAAGAAGAGTAAGAGCGAGAAATCGTCCAAATCTTCAAGTAAAGCCTCGAAAGGCAAAAGCGATGGTGGTAAAACAAAGAAACAAAGCAAGAAGAGCAATAAATCAAAAAGTTATAACTCCGATGAGTCCGCAATGTCGGATGATGGCGAACCTGAACCAAAACCGGAACCGGAGTCAGAACCTGAAGCGGAACTCGAACTGGATTCGGAGTTGGAGCCGGAGCCGGAGAGCGTAGATGACGGTGGAGAAGACGATGATGAGAGTTTTGAATATCCGATTGTGAAAAAAGGCAAAGGCAAAGCAAGCAAAGACATCAAAACACACACAAAAGCCATCACATCCTTAGCGCAAAAGAAGAAACATGCATCAACTAAATCAAATAAACAACCCGCAGCCGCAAAAAATCAAAAGGGTAAAAGTAAGAGCAGCAAGTCGAAACAAAAGTCAAAGACTTCGGCCGAAAGCGATGTCGATGGTGATAATGAAAGCGACGACGAAAAGCCTTTAAAGAAGAAACCGCTTTTGAACAAAGACATGCCACCACCAGCCGTGGATGCGCTCGCCGCCTCAGCCTCTGAGCTGGAGGAGGAGGTAATCGACGACGATGATGATTCACGTTCGCGCAGCATGTCCCCATTCAAGGTGGATCTGCATAAGAAATACTCCAAAAGTGCACTTAATGATGATCTCTGCGACTTGTTGACATCGGTGAAGAAAGTACCCGGTACATCAGCAACCAATTCAAATGAAAAGCGAGTGAGCCCCGAAGACGATGAAGAAGATGATGATTTTAAGTCCTTGTCTAGTCGCAGCTCAACGCCGGCACGCGCTTCCAGTGAGGAACGCAAGACAAAGCGCACGCCGAAGAAACATGCGCGTAACGGAAAAAAGGAAGAGCCGCAAAATAATAGGAAAAATTCTGCTGCGTCTAGCACATCAACTGTCGGTAAAAAGAATGCCGAACTCGATGCTGCTGCGGCAGCAGAAGCAGCCAAGCAAGCCGAGCTGGAGATGTTGTTGCCTTTTCTCGATAAATACGAGTTGATAAAGTACCGACGTAGTCGCGCCAATAATTTGCAGCAGAGTACAGCGGTTAGTGTAGCTGAAGATAGCCAAAAAGCAGTGGGCAGAAGTCGCTCAAGAGAAACCGCCACCAAGAAAAAGGATACCGGTAAGGGTGGTGAAAAGGAGAAGGCTACTGACAAATCGAATGGCGAGAGCACGAAGGTGAAAAAGACAGGAAAAAAATCCAAGAAGGATACGCGCGGTAAAGATAAATCTGATACAGAAGATTTAAAAACGAAGCCTAAAGAAGACATAACTTCAAAGACCGCAAAAGCCGATGAAAAACCCACAGGAAAAGCTGCAAAAGTGGCTACGAAAGCAGACCTGGCCGAGGAAGTGTACAATGAGGGCCATACAATAAATAACACCATCTCTACGAAGAGCGGTAAAAATGCGGAAAAGAAAGCTGTTGCATCACCCGAAAAACCGACTGCGAAAAAAAAGGAAAAACCTAAACCGGAACCTATTCCCACCGTGCAAGTGGAAGAATCGCCAAAGAAGCCGACTGAGAAACCCACAGCTCCGGTGCCACCGAAGAAAGCATTGCAGAAAAAAGGCTGCTGCTAGTGCTGCGGTAAACAAAAAAGCTAACAATAAACCAACAGCCGTAAGCGCTGCTCCGAGCAAGACTTCATCGACCAATATTGAGGCACTGGACGTGGAAACTGAGCAGACGCTGAAGGATATCAACCGCTGGTTGGAGCATACCCCGCGTTTCTCGGAATTCAGTTCCGCCAGCAATTCTCCTTCGCGTTACAACCTAGACGAGTTCGATCCGGCGATTCCGGCCAAGTTGGAACCGGCCGATTTCAGGCGACCAGTGCCGATCGCTCCGCCGAAAATTGATTTGGTGCCCACCAAATTGGCAGAAGTGCTGGTTGATTTAGTCACCGACAGCGATGCAGTGGTTACCAGTGGCCTTAAGAAAGAAGTGATCTCAGAATTAATAACAAGCGGCATATCTGCCAGCACCGCAGGTGGCACTGCGAGCAGTGTGAGCTCTAGCTGTGGCACGCCACCGCATTCGGTCACATCTGCCAACTCAGTTGGAAGCACCTCAGCCAATGCTTCGTCGAATAACTCAGCTGTAAATGCACCGTCGATATCATCGATCGCCTCTGCGTCGGCCGCCAATCAGCCAACTCTGCTAATACCACCGCCTCCCGCCATCGTGGCGCCCGTTTTGAGCTCACTGGCGCCACCAAAACCCAAAGAGCCCAGCACCACTCAATTGCTGCTGCATCCACCACCGCCGCCGCATATTAAAAATCAGCTGGCAAAAGAAGCTAAGCGCAAGTCACTGAAGGAAAAGCTACAGGCGGCTACAAATCCACGCCGCAAAGATTTGCTTCGTACCATCGAACGGCTGCAACCGGGCAAAGCTAAGGGCAATCTTATACAAAATATAAATAAACCCGATGAGCTTTTCCCACTAGGACCTGTCGCTGCCAAAACAAAGGAGGTGAAAAATGCGCTGATCGTTGAAACTGGCGACAATGCGCCTAAGCTAAGTTTAGGCACCGTTATAAATACCGATGATTTTGCTTTGGGGCAATCACATAATTTCATCGATGAGTTAGCGAGCAAAACCGAAGCAAAGTCTTTGAATAATACAGAAAAGGAAGGGGACGAGAAGGGTGGCAAGACGACTGGCCTTGAGATAATTTCGCCCTTCACATCCAAAGCTTCGACAATAGCTGCTGGCGTTTTGGCTGCTTCAGAAATAGAATCCGATAAGAAAGATGATGAAGCGCTTGCCAACGATTATATAAAACCCTTTGAAAAACTGTTGGAGAAGAAGTCTGCCGCAAATACGGAGTCAGGCGGCACTACGACTGCAAAAGAAAAGCCAAATTTGAGCGCATGGTTCAAAGCTTTTGGTGCACCGAAGAAAGCAAAGAAATCGGAGGAGGAAGAAAAGCAACAACAACAGCAGGCAGATGCAAATGAGTCGGCTTTCAGCGCTGGCCCAGGATCAAGCTCAACGAAATCTAATGATGGGGCAGCGACTGCCTCAATATCTTCCACCGGCGCCACTGCTGCCAGCAGGTCACCCACTTCGGCTTCAATGACTGGTGGCGTGGACTTTTCATTGCCCTCAGCGCCACGCCAACGCAAAGCGAGCACTGGCAGCACAATATCCGAACGCTCCTCCTTCAGCCAGGACCCCGACTCGCCTCGCATAGCTATAGATGAACGTTACGGGTCTTACGCGGGTGCGAACTACACGTCGCCCATCGGCGCTTCACCAATTGGGGCATCGCCGATAATGGTTTCACCGAAACCAGACGAAATTACCAAACCTACCTCACCCTATCCATTGAATGGCGCTATAAAGGTGGGTTTCTATCAAGACACCACCACCAAAAGCAGTCCGGATAAGAGCTGCAGTCCACGCGAAATGCCATCGCCATATCCACAATACTCACAGCACATATACTCATCTGCTTCGTCACCAAACGTATCAACGCCCGAGTTAAGTGGCACTTCACCCTATGGTGGCGCAAATAGCTATAATCCTTCCGGCTCAGAGGCCTCGAAGACGCCTGTTTACTCATCAACATCACCATTGCCGAATCTCTATGACCAATACAAGCAGCCACGTTCACAGGAATCCGATTACAACTCATCTATGAGTCCAAGCACTCCCAATCCGAATTCACCATATCAACAGCCTCAAAGTTCACCATATGCCGCACAATCGCATCAATCCCCATACCACCACCCCAACTCTCCATACCATCAGCAGCAACATTCGCCCTTCCATCAACAACCGCACAGCAGCCCAGTTCACACGCCACCCGCAGCCACGGCCGCCCTGCCTGCTGGCTCCACTTCAGTGCATTCGCCGCTGCACCAGCAGCAGCACAGTCCTATGCCTAGCAGTGTAGACTCGCCAGCATCGTCTGCTGCAACTCAACCGCCAACGCCACTGGCCCACTCACCTGCCGACCAGCCGCATTCGCCATACCAACAGCAGATGCATTCGCCTTATCAGTCGCAGTCACAGGCCCCGCCTCAAACGCAATCACCTCAAGCGCAACAGCAAAACTCCAACGCCCTTTCGCCGTACAGTCAGAGTAGCATGAGCCCATCACCATATCAGGCACCGGTGGGGACTCCGGAGGCAGTCACTTTCAATCAGTTGACTCAAAATACTGATGTGAAAAATACCTCCCCAACTGTTACAGCGACTCCAGCAGCAACTCCCGCGCAAGCCGAACAACCCTATGCGCAGACTGTAGCAAATAGAAGTAGCGGCAGCGGCAGCGGCAATAACGTTAGTACAGTTGGAGGTAGTGACTCTGCAGGTAGCGTTGTAAATGCTGCGATTGCGTCTGTATCGGCATACGTGCCAACACCCCAGGATATTTTTAATGCCACCACAATGCTGGCAGCGCAAAGCCAAGTGCAGGGGCAGACGGAGTCGCAGAGCCTTGCGAAACAGCAGCCGCAGCAACAACAGCAGCAGCAGCAACAACAGCAACCAACCCAGCAGCTGCAACAGCACCAACAACAACCAACCCAGCTGCTCCAACAGCAACTGCAACAACAACATCAACCAACCCAGCAGTTGCAACGGCCACAACAACAGTCTCCGCAACAACAGCAGTCTCCGCAACAACAAAAGCCTCAACAACAACAAACTCAACAACAACATCAGCAGCAGATAGACGAGTTGCGAGCCCTCTACGGCACGGCGCTGAGCTCTGCGGCTGTATCTATCTTGGACAACACGAAGCATAATGATTGGAATTTGACTGGCGCCACGCAGCCACAGGTTGAAATGCAGCAGCAGCAACAACCACAGCAACAACAGCAACAGCTGCTCCAACAGCAACAACCGAAGCAGCAAAATGTTCAACATCAGTTGCAGCAGCAGCAACAACAATTGCAAAACCAGCAACAATTGCAACAAAATCAACAGCAACAAAAGCCGCAATATCCAACCTACGCGCAGTACCAGTCAAAAGCTGCTGCAGCAGCTGCCGCCGCTGCTGCGTCCACGAGCAAGGACGTCTCTGGAGCAGACAAGACGGACAGTGTTAAAAGACAGAGCGCCACAGCTTCGGTTTACGGCGACAACTCTGCCAACGATATGGCAGCCTTCATGCAACACATGCACCAGCAGGCGCAAGCACACAAGAACTCTGTGAGCGCCGCTTCAACGCCAGCGGCGTCTAGCCCTACAGCATCAACCACTGTGGCAAGCACAGCAGCTGTGAACGCAAACGCCAACCCGCTTAAGCGGACAGCTGAGGACATGCTGGGCATGGACTACAGCGGCACCAGCAGTGGCGGCTCAGCGAACAAGTTACAAAAGTGTGAGAACAATAGCGGAAATATGCCGCAGCAAACAGCACAGATGTCGGCACAGAGCAGCAAACAACAACAAATGTTCGATAGCTTCTTGGGTGCCATGCCCTTTGGCAAGCATTTGGGGAGCATAACTCCAGACAAGGCGTTCGAAATGTATAATCGCGCTGCGTCAATGGGGTTTCCCAAAGATTATGCGAAGGACAACAGCTGCCAGATGCAGCAACAGCAACCGCAGCAGCAGCAGCAATCCCAGCAGACCCAGCAACATCAGCAGCAACAGCAACAGTCGAATACTGGCGCCAGTCAACAGCAACACCAGCAGTTACAGCAGCAAAAGCAAACGCAGCATTTACAGCAACAGCAGCAGCAGGCAACACACAACCAGCTGCAGCTTGGCCAGCAGCAAAGCCAACACCCCCAACAGCTGCAGCATAGTCAACATACGCAGCAGCAGCAACAGCAGCAAACTCAACACTTATCCAAGGCCACCATGGACAGCATTACAGCCAGCCTGCTTAGCAAGCCCCTTAATTATGGCGCTAGTAGTCTGCAGCAGCAGCAACAACAAACGCAGATAAGTCATTCACAGCAAATGACCCAGAGTTATTCAGCACAGCCACAACAGCAGCAACAACAACAACAGCACTCGCAGCAACCGCAAGCGCAACAGCAACAGCAACAACAGCAATTGCCTGCCAAATCGACTGCAGCGGCAAGTTCAGCCTCCGGCTCAGCATCAACACTGGACGCCAGCAATATGCTGAACATGTCAAGCCACCATCTGACACACCATCTTTCGGCCTACAACAAGCCGACCCCACCACCGCCGCCTGCGCAGACATACAGCAATCCGGCAGCCTCGTTACTGCACCCCTTGGCCGAGAGCTTATTCGGCCTGTCCTCTGCCAGCTCCGGGTTCTACGATAAGAATATGCCCCCAGCTGCCCACATGTATAACGCAGCGGGCGCGGCGAAAAATCTCTCAACATCCCAGCTGTACTCGAATCCCGCATCAATTGCTGCGATGGGCGCTGGTACTGGCATGTACGGCAATGCCCAGCTGACGTCCGCAGCAGCTGCGGTGAGCGGTTCGTATGGCGTCACTAACACCAGCTCCAATTGCAGCAGCAACAACACGACTAACCAGCAGCATCAGAATGTAGTAGCCGCAGCAACGGACGTTGCAAAATCAGTGGCGCCGGCCGTTCAAGTTCCTGCGAAACGTGGACGCAAGAAGAAGGCTACAACGATTGCGGCAGAAGCGGCGGCGGCAGCTGCAGCGGCTGCCAAACTGCAGCAACAGCAGCAGCAACAACAACAGCAGCAACAGTTGCAGCAACAGCGCCAGCAGCAGCAACAGCAGCAGCAGCAACAACAGCAACAGTTGCAACAACAGCAGCAGCATCAACAGCAGCAGCAGCAGCAACAACAACAGCATCAGCAGTTGGTACAAAATCATCTTCACCCGTCGCAATATAACACGGCAGCGGCGCATATGTCACAGCTGACAAGCACCAGCTCAACTGGTACAGCACAGCCCGCACACCAAAGCTCCAGTGGGGTGCCCGCCCATTTGCAGGCGCATGCACAGGCGCTGCAGCAAGGCTTTCAACTGTACGCTGGCCTAAAAACAGGTGGTGTTGGCTCGCCGCTCTCGGCAGCCACCAGTTCCAGTTCGGCCGCAGCTGCTGCAGCCGCGGCGGCAGCCGTCAGCAATGTGGCTGCACACAGCGCGGCTTCAGCAACAGCAACATCTAATGTGTCCGCCACAAGTGGCGTTGATGTAGCCACTGCGATTTCGCTGAAGACATCCGCGGCTGAGGCGACCGGCATGGTGCCGGGCAGCGCTTTCAATTTCGGACCCACCCCTGGCAGCCTTGGCTTATATGGCGACCAAGCGGCAGCAGCTGCCGCCAGCAGCTACTTAGATCAATTCAGAGATGCATCCAACCCCTACTATATGCCACCAGCGCCGGCGCCCGCTCATCGCAACTCGGCAAGCGATGCTAGTGCGGCAGAGAAAGCGCAATCAGCGCTAAATCCAGGTGCATCGGCGGCCGCCGCTAGCGCTTACCCATTCTTGGCGGCGCACACAACACCGCGTGGCACCCCATACTCATTTATGCATAATACGGGCGCCTCACAGCTGGCTGATCCCAATTCTCAGCTATATTCCTCCTACTTGCGGCGAGAGGATTTCCTTATGTTCAATCAAGGGCTACTGGGACGTGGCGCAGGTGCAGCAGGCTATGGGCAACCACCGCCGCCAACAGCCTATCGGCCATCCTCACTGGGTATGCCCAAGCCGTATGATATCAATCGATCATGGTTTTAGCAGTGCGCCAACAACACCGCCCATGATGAAGCAGTAGTCGGACAGACAGCAGCAGGTGCGGCAATGGCAGGTGGCGGTGGTGGTGATGGTGATGGCAGTGGCGAAGCCAGCAACAGTAGCAGTGTGTTGGGCGGACAGCAACAGCAGCAGCAGCAAAGGGTGCAGCATACTCAGCAACACCTGCAACTACAACAACAACAGCAGCAGCAGCAACATCAAACGCAGCTGTTAGACCAACACCGACAGCTACAAACACATCAATTGTGAAGGATGTCGCTTATTTACTGGTTGCCTTTCAAAATCACACAGAGCTGCCTCAAACATAACGCTGCGTATCAGCCACGATTGAAGAGAGTGCGAGCAGCATATATGCATATGCAGACGCGCTTTGCTAAAATGACAATTATCATTATCTTATGTTCAGCTTTAGTAGATATACATACAAACATACATACATACTACAGAGTAAAGTAAAAGTTAATTGAAGAAAAGGAACAAAAAAAAATTGAATAATTAAAAGATAGCGTAGTTGATGCAAACGTTAATTTAACATTTATGTTTATGTCTAACATACATATATAACTAAGTTTACATTAAACAAAATAAAAAAAAAAAAACAAAAACCTTAAACTAATTACACGCTAAGCCAAAGTGTAGCCGCATTTACACTGAAAAAAAAACAGTACTAGATTAGTACGATATTCAGGATTATGATTACGATTAAGCACAAATTGTATTTATGCTAAGCTATAAAAATTTTGTTGTTGTTGGCAAAGTCGGCAGCAGCAACAGCAAGAAGTAAAACATATGCATTGTTACATTTCTGGCTGCATTTGGAAATTGATGCTGAGTTGGTGAAATCCGGCGTAATCGGGTTAATTTTACTAGTTATGTACAATGATGTTGCTTATATATGTAGATAAATACATTAAGCGCTACCTTACATACATATATTTAAAGTGCATACAAAATTCGTTTTAACGCCAGCGCTGGCTTTTGACATTAATGTGCATTAGAACACTTTCTCATACGTATGTATAAGCTTTGTAATACATAATTGAAAAAGTTTTATGAGACATCATCATACATATATATATATATATATACTCGTGCATACACAGTAAACTACATACATACATTGTAAGTATGTACATAAGTTTGAAAAGTTTATCACTAAGCCTATTAGTAAGCATTTTTGTTTGTATATATAAACATTATACATATTATGTATTAAAACTATATTTTAATGTTAAGTCAAATTATCTCTAAACATACATACATACATACATACATACATATTGAACTCACAGGAGATTAAGAAAAAGAAAAAAGAAAAAACAAAAACACTCACTACATTTTATGATTCCTTCATTGTATGTACGTATGTATATTAGTTTGTTTGTATCATTCAAAACTATATACTTGTAAAGCTTAATAGTCAGGAAGGAGCTTTTAAATAAATGTAATTGCCTTATTTCACAAATCAATCGACTTCATTTATTTTTTTGTAATCATATCGAGCCCTAACCGCCAAAATAACGTAAGTGACATTTTTTTCAAAAATTTTTTTTTTGATGCAGAAATGCATCTAAACGCTCTAGGAATATTTCTGCATCAAAAAGAAAATTTTGAAAAAAATGTCGCTTGCGTTATTTTGGCGGTTAGGGCTCGATATGTATGTCGAGAGTAATACGTCGTTCACATTCCTTTTTCGACTGTTGTACATAGATTTCTATGTGCATACACTGCCTGCCACTTTGAATAGCATACGCCAACTTCTCTTCCTTCAATTTCAATAACCCACCAACAAATATTGTAACTAACATCCATTTTTCTTTATTTGAAAGCTATACAATTTTGTACATCCTGTTGGTTAGAGAATCGTATAGCTTGTGGATGTAATCTAGAGAAATAGTGGATCAGGCACTAGTGGAATACTGTCTTCTCGAATAAGCCATTATTCCCACACAATTTCCATTATGTTTAGGTCAGATAAGTAGCCTTGTTATAACAACGGCCGCAATATCTG